CGCAGCCATTGTAACAACAGCTTGGTAGTAGAAATCGAACAGAATTTGTGTGATCTATTTCTGTTACCAATCAGCATTAAACTATGGCTGCGTTCAGCAGAACGTTTGTTTTGCAACTGTTGGAAGTTTCCTTCGCGCTAATTGAATCATACTTTTAGATCTAGAAGAATGGTCCTATCTCAGCAGACAATCATAAAACGGTTGCAAAACTGTTGAGTCTGCTGAACGCAGCCTATATATAATAAATATATCTAACTTTACTTCTACTTGATTTTTGTTATTCATTTGCCATCATCATATATATTTTGTTGATAAATTTTTCTATGTTTCTACTAGCATTTTGTCTGTTATTATCAAGTTGTAGAAAAAGACAAACATGTAATTCTGAGTATATTTACTAATACTTTTTCAATATATAATATAGATAAATTGATTTGAACAGATACAGTTTAAGAATATTTTGCAGATAATGATCCACAAGTGGAAAGCAATGGTCTTAAAGCAGATTCTAATTTTGGAGAGGACAATGTCAGAAATGGTGTATGCAATGTCAGTAGCGACACAAAATTGAAAAATTGCACAAGATTTGACAACAGACATGAAAGTTTTTTAAATGACATCAGCAATAAGAATATACATTCGTCGGAACAAGCATCTAAATCAGAATTTATGTCATACACATTATTATTCAGTTGTGTCAGTTTCATCTTGCTAGCGGGAATTGTCAATATTTTGTTTGTGCTGAAACTCGACTATTTATTTGGGCAGGTATATAATAATATATATATTTGTGTATATAAACTTATCCTATATTTCATTGAAATATATTGATAACTTACATGTATTGTTCATATATTCACAGGCAGTTATCATACCTTACTTATTATTGACGATGGGACGTTTATATAGCTGTACGACATTATATGAAGCACAAGACAACAGTTTATTAGTCATTGCTTTGATGTTGTGCAATGTTAAACCTAGATTAATTCATATATTCAAAATATCATTCGCGTTATTCACTATGATACTTAATGATTTTTGCTTATATATGTTTAGTTTTGTATTGATGCGCTATATCATTATTCGCTATTATTACTATAATCCTGCAGTACCAACAAATGCATAATTACTCTGGTAATGGAGTGAGTGAAGGTAAAGTGGAATTCTATTGTTGGAAATTTTGTACAATTTTGTAATGTTGAAAAGGTAGAAGGCTGTTCTCAGAAGAATATAAAAATTGATATATTATTTTTAAAACCATGCAGCTGTATCATATTTTTTTACGTCTTCAGCATTATGCTGTCATTTTAACTGAATAATAGGTATTGTATAAGAGGCACATTAATTTTTCTAGAAAATAGTTATAATAAATACATGTAATTATAATAATTTTAAAACAGATTTTGTACATAGATGTAATGACTCTTCAATACTACATTTCGCGGAAATCGGAAGACTTTTAGCATTTTCGGTAAAACTTCAATCCGCCATATTGATTCAATCATTTTGAATTTTCAAATTTTGAGACCGGATTCGAAATCGGCGACCCCCAAAACCTTTAGATACGACATTTCAACGGAAACGAAGTACTCTAACAACTTCAACGAAAAGAGGCTTCAGGGCACGTAACACGCCAATTTTAAAAGAGGATATGACGTTGTAAATTTGCATAAATTCGCAACGTTTCTAAGATTTGTTCTTTTTTATGGTTACTAAAGCTGTCCAAGTGCTTGATGAATTATCAGGTGCTTATTATTCCTAAATACTTTGATACGATTAATATAACAAAGTGCGATCAATTACTGTTAAGAAATGTGTAATCAATATTTTCTCTCTATTTTATGGTAATATGTAATTATAAAAAAAATAAGTAAAAACTTAAACCTTATCTTACAATTTTATTATACAATCCTAATCTAAAAGCAGATTAAAAAAATACTAGTATCTTTAAAAATCAGCAGTACAAGCAAGAATATACAAATATATATAATAATTTCTCAATTTGATTGAAATTTAAAAAAAATCGTTTTTTATAGACATATGTATGTACGGTATGTATTTTTGTTCTTTTTGAGGAAATTCCGACTGTAAGAAAGAATTTAAAATTTGGCGCGAGATATCGTATCTATTGATTGGTCAGAAAATTTCTAACCTAGAGATAGCATCGAGGTACCTTATCAGTTCACAATGCACATACAAATATCGATTTTGATTTTTGTTATCTCTTCCATGGTCTCTTCTACTGATTGAATCGATCAGATTGATGGAAGATTTCTTTAATTTATTCTTGCTTATATAACAGTAATACGCAACCTGCGGCTCTGTGAATTTTTTGCGGTCCATCGGCACAAAATAAAAAATATATTTTCTATTTCATGTAAGTAAACATCATGTGGCTCGCAAGATTTTATCTATATTTTTGAAAATGGTCCTTTGAAAATAATTCTTACAAAAGGTTGCATGCGCATCACTGATACAATACATCCTCAATTTCTGATGTAATAATAAAAATTATTCGTCAATCGCTATTCATTGGCACATCGATGCATACACGAGATCATTGCGAGATTGTCAAACGTTAAGTAAAATGATACGTAGGGGTGCATGCCAAATAGTCAGCTCGATTCATTCAAGTCCTCTTGCAGAGGTGCACGACGTTCCGATGGACGTGATTATCAGACCTTTTCTTGCCGATGTAAACGAGGAAAAGGTCCAAAGTTTGATGAACGCGTTGAAAAACGTCGAAACTGAAGACACAGTACCGCCCATCGACATTTTGTGGGTCAAAGGAAGCGAAGGTATAAAGTTGTCATACTGCTTTCCATTTGATGACACAAGCCGACACAAGCATTGTTCTATCCTTCTTGACATTCAGAGAGTGACAAAGATAGAACGACACTTGATCATTCTAATATGTGCCTTCCAACAAGCGACACAAATGACACAATGTGACACAATGAATCATTACATCTTTGTTGTTTGCCAATGTTAAATAAAGATGACATGATCACTGTGTCGCTTGTTGGAAGGCATATATTGGCCCGTATTCATAGTCAGATCTTGTACTTAAGGCCTGACTATGAATACGGGCATTAGTCTCCTAAAAGGAAAGTAGTCATAGTGGCGTGAAAAGTAGTTTTTACATTTTTACTAAATTTATGAATTATTATTGCGTCAGTTTTATAATTTTTAAACAAACGAGATCAAACCACTGTTAAGTTTCTAGGAGAAATAATTAAATTTATCGATTATATTTATAGGTGGTGACTATTATTATTCTTTTGGTGGTTGTCATCGTTATACTGCCCATGAACGATTAGGTAAAGCGTCTATTAAAGCCAAAATAATTCAATCAACTTTAACGGATTTACGATGTTATCTGGGAAATTCTACTCCAGACTTGAAGTGAATTGCATGTATATACATATATTTTTTATTATTACATGTAACTGAATTACTTGTATGAACATGCATAAATATATTTTTTACTATTATACACATATATACTATATAATTTTTTAAGAAAAAAAATATATATACATATATACCATAAATGTGGGTGACTTGGGACAGCATGTATAGGGTGTGTCTAGCGAATTTACTTTGATTTTTTCTGACCTTCCCTTAATCCGAAGGCTGGATCCGCTTTTGTTAAATTCAATGAGTCTCTAAAGGAAGTTAAGTTTCAGTTTTAAATTTTCCATGATTGAATTTAAAATACATGCTGTCCCAATTAGTCGCCTACATTTACGGTACTTTTTTAGTGATGTAAATTGAGCAACGAGAAGCCGTGATGTGTCGATTACTCGTCCGTAACATACGTACGTACATATTTCCGTATTTATTCGAGATACATATTACATTGCGCGATTGAGTGAAGTATCCGCCGCGTCGATCGCTGATTTGACTCGCGTCGTATCTCGCGACACCGGAGTGAACGGCGCCACATTCTTGGCGCTCTTAGCAGTACGTTTATAGATACGCAGCGGACCGATTTCAAGTCGATGACCATTTCATTGGTGTGGTAGATACAGCCGTAGTGATGTCGATTCCGTCACATTTCGGAATTGTACGCATATACGACTCAACGCTCGTACGTTGGTAAGTCGCTAAGATGCGTATTTTATGAGAAATCTATCGCGTTCGGAATCTACGACGCGCACGGTCGGTGACGGTCCGTGACGCGGCGACGCCATGTTTTTCATATTTTCAAGCGCCGCGATATTCAACTCTAAATCCTATTTCGTATCTCTTCGTACGTATTAATTATTCGAGTTTTGATGTGATAATTTACGGCAAAATGTTCGTGCGAGATAACTATCATCTTGAGATCGTGCGCGTTATTCTCTTTTTTGCGAGGCGCGTGAAGTTGGCCGAGTCTTTCCCGCGGTAACGTTCTCGCTTCCCGCCACTCGTACGCGCGCCAGTCGCGTGACGTCATCAATCTCGCGCGGATTATATCCCTGCGCGATATGTATCTCTCTCGTTCTCGTTGTTACTTTGTCGTGATGTAATAAAGACGTCGATTAACACCGGGAACGCTGTGCAAAGTGTCGCGTTCTGATAATTAGCGTGCGCGCGATCGTAATTAGCCTCTCTTCCGCGAGTGTTGTTTTGGTGCATTGGACTGGAGAATACAATGGACTGACAAGTAACACTACCCAAGTGTTA